AGTATTCTGTATGATTACACTTTATCAGTCTTCACATTTAGTGGTTTTTGTTATACGCTTAGTTGCTGTATGTTTGTGCTTACTGCTTTATGACTTGTTTAATCAGGATTCTAGTGACATTTGTCTCTCAAGAGAATTTTTTCTTATCATACTGGGATTGAACCCATGGCATTCACACTGAGCTACGTCCTCACCCAGCACTATTTTATTTTTTATCTTTGAGACAGGGTCCTGCCAAGTTGCCCTACCTGGGCTTGAATTTCTTGTGATCTTCCTGCCCCAGCTTCCAAGGGTACCAGGAATACAGATGTACACCAGCATGCCTGGCTGAGTGCTTTTGTTTTTGTATTGGGAATTGACATATGGCATCACATGTGTTAGGCAAGTGCTCTACCACTCAGCTACATCCCTAACCCTTTTTATTTTGAAACAGTGCCTTGCTAAGTTGCCAGGATTGGCCTGGAAATTACCATCCTCCTGCCTCAGCATCCCAAGTAACTGGGATCCCAGGCAACATGCTCAGCTGTGGGAAGATTTTGAGGCACTAGCTCATGTGCTGTGGAGGCTGCAGGGAGTCTGTCAGGCCAGGGACCAAGGGAAGAATGGCAATCCAAGTCCAGAGGGTCCCTGGAACAGAACTTTTCAGTCTTTTCTTTGTAAGGCCTTTGTAAGGCCTGATTGGATGAGGCCTACCTTACTCTGAAGAAAAATCTACTTTACTGAGAAGCTACTGATGTGTTTATCTCCTGTAAAAATATGTTCACAGCCACTCTAGACAGCGTCTGACTGAAAACAGGTGCTTTCGCCTGCTTGAGTTGGTGCAGGTGATAGGGTCTGCAGTCCGCGCCGCCATCTGACCTTCTCCTCAGAGTGGGAGCGCTCATTAGTGTGGGGCAGGCCTCACGGTGCGCCCTGCCCGCTGTGCTGCCTCTGCCAGCCCCTGGTGCAGAGCGAACTGCACTTTTCGGGAACGTGCACAACCCTGCTTGGGGTTCGGGCGGTTGTTTGCATCTCAATTCTCACTGCCCTTCCTCTGCTGGGTGTGGTGTTGGGCTGGAAAACAGACCTTTCCCCACCTTCTGGCTGTCAGAGTGTGCAGGGAAGCTGATCACTCTGATCCCTTTAAGCTGTGCCTGCTTCTTTCTGGAATTTTTTTTTTTTTTGCGACAGAGTCTTGCTGTATAGTTTAGGCCGGCCTTGAACTCACAGAGATCCTCCTGTCTCCTCCTCCTGAGTGCTAGAATGAACCAAGCCTGGTTGGTTCCTTCTGTTTGGAAGCTTCCAAGATGTCCATTTGTGTCTGAGGAGCTCAGGAATGTTTCCGAGGCAAAGCCTGGCTTGGCAATGATCTCACTGGGAGCGTGTGGCCGTTTGTCCTCTGACCCTGATCCTTGTGTCTGTCCACCTGCTGGCCTCTCCCACTGGCCTGTCTTGGCTCCCAGCTGCCCGCAGGGCACAGCTCTGGCCCATGAGATTCTGTAGCAGCCGTGCCCCCTTCGGTGGGGTGAGGTGTGACAGCTGTCACAGTGCCCCTCGCACCCCAGTCTCCGTCAGTGGCCTTGAGGGCTGTGCCTGCCCAAGGGCCAGTGAGGCTGGCTGTGCCCTTCCTGGATGCCTCCATGGCCCCAGGTAAGCCAGGGTGCTGGTCTCCAAGGCCCGGGCTCCTCCCCATAGGCATGGAAAAGAACAACGGTGAACCAAACTGGGACCACGGAGGGCAGCCCAGTCAAGCGGCAAGGTCGCCACGGCTGGGGTGGATCCACCTGCAGCTGAGCTGCCAGCATCTCAGCAAGATGGCCCTGCTGGTCTCAGTGTGCCTGGGCAGGGTGCCTGGAGCCGGGCAGGGCCTCTCCCTCCTGTCTGTGTTTCAAGGCGATGCCTGGGCACATGGGGAAAACGTCCCGCAGGGCGGGGCCGTGGGAGCTCCTGGCAGGGATGTGCAAAGGCTCATGGCGCCAGGCTCTCTGGGAGATAGCTGGAGGCTGGGTACTGGGCGCTGGGGACCTGGTGAGCTCAGGCTGAGGCTTTGAGATGGCCACCCGGGCCTACTTGTCACCCCGCTGGGCACACGTGGGCCCTGAGCTGCCTGGGCTCACACTAGGGCGGCTGTCTGCTGCACGAGGCGTGATCTGTCCCCTGAACTCCTGGCCGCCGGCATGGAGTCCAGCGTGTCCTCTCCCCAGGATGCTGTGCCCTGCCTGCCATGACCGTGAGCCTGGGTGCCTCCGGGGCTCCCGGCAAGTGTGCTTAGCAGCCTTGCTTGGTGTTTCTGCCGCCCTGGCCTTGCTGGGCACGGTGGCACACGCTTGTCACCCCAGCACTTAGGAGGCTGAGACACGAGGGTTGTGATGTCTTCGAGGCCAGCCTGGGCTATACAGAGAGAGCCTGTCTCAAAGAACAGCAACAACAAAAAGGGCCTCTGTCACCTGAAGCGGCAAGGGGACAGTAACCCTGTGGGCTGGTTTTTGTTTTGTTTTTTTTTGGTACCGGCAATCAAACTCAGGACCTTGCCCCTCCCAGGCAGGCGCTGTGCCACTGAGCTATCTCCCCGGCCCTTCTGTGATGAGCACACAGGAAGTGCACTTGGGGTGCAGGGGTGGTGGGTTGCTCGAGGCCCAGCCTCAGCCCCAGTGAGGAAGAGCACGTGGGCACCCCAGAGGCCAGCCATGCACATGGTGGCAGTGACTGTGGTGGCAGGGAAGGACAGGCACAGGCCTCCGGTGGAGGGAGGATAGCTGGGAGTTTGGAAGTGGGGGCAGGCTGCTCACCAGGGGCAAAGCTCAGTCGCTTCTGGCTGTGCTGTCCCTGAACCTGGCAGTGTTGCTACCATCGCCGGGAACACTGCAAACCTTGTTCATGAGACACCAGCACCAGGGCCGGGAGGGAGTTGGTAGTTGGGAGGGGGCCTCATCTAGGGGTGGGTGATGGGCATGGACTCTGTAGTGAGAGCTGGGGCCCAGGCCCGGCTTCTGTCCCTCAACTCTGACCAACAGAAGTTACCTCACAAGTTGGCCTCAGTTTCCTCCTCCACGAAATGGCAACAATACAGTTGCTGGGAGGGTGGGTCATGCCCAGAGCCCAGCACATGGTGAAGTGTGGTGATCATCAGTTAAGGCTATAGCTATCTTCCTTTGGAGCCCTTGTACTAGACACAAGGCAGATACTTCTCTTGCCACTGCCTCTCAGCCCTAGAGGGCTGCCTGGATCCTGCCATTTTCATCCTTCCTCACTGCCCCTGCCTCATTGGGCTCCAGCTACACAGGCCTCCAACACACCAAGTGTGTACCCGCCTGTAGTGGACTGGAGATGGGATGGAAATAAAGATAGGCAGAAAGGAGACAAGGAATAAAATTGTAATTTAAAGATTGTACTTAATGAAAAACACTGCAGCTTCAGGACACCATCAAAGTTACTCAAAGTGAGAATTATTTTTCCTTCTCGGGATCCTTACTCCTACATTCGTAAGTTAAACAAACAAACAAACAAACAAAAAATACAGAACCAGGTGTGGTGGTGCATGCCTGTAAACTCAGCACTCAGGGAGGCTGAGGCAGGAGGATTGCAAGTTTGAGCCTACCTTAGGCAACTTAGCCAGACCCTGTCTCAAAATTAGAAAAAAACCAGAGTAAAATAAGGCTGAGGATGTAGCCCAGTGGAAAAGTCCTGGGTCCAATACTCTGTACCACAAAATACAAAGAAACAAATCCCCTAAAACCAAAACAAACCCTCTCAAAACCCCAGTACAAATGGCAGAGCTGATCCATGGGGGTGAGTTGAAGTCCGGTCTCCTCTTTGCAGGCCTCCTCAGAGCCTGTCTGGTGACAGCTGAACAGAAGCGCCCCCCGCATCTGTGTCCGAATCTCTTGGCCCTGCGACTGCGACCTCACACAGAAAAAGGCCTGAGATGAGGCCAGCCTGGGTTACCTGGGTGAGTCCTATATCCAAAGACAAACATCTTTGAAAGAGACATGGCAACAAGCCAAGGATCGCCCTGGCCACCAGACGCTGGACGGGGCAAAGAAGGAATCTCACCTGGAGACTTTGGAAGGTGTGCAGCTGCCCACACCTGCAGCTTGGACTTCTGGACTCTAGAACAACGAGAGACTAAGTTTCTGTTGTTTTGAGCACCTCGTTCTGGCTCGGGTAGTTTGTGATGCTACCCCAGTGCCTTTGCACTGACTAAGCCTGTGGTGTGGACTGCTCTTCCCCACAAAAGGGAAGCTGTGGGAGCCCCTCCATTCCTATATGCTGCTTCCCCAAGAGCTTTTCTTTCCCAGCATGCAGCGTTCCAGCCACTTGCCCTCTGCCTCCTTTGGGCATAGTTAGGACACCAGGAGAGCTGACCAGGTGATGGCAAGTTTGGCTCAGGCAGCTGGAGGGGCAAAAATACACGTGCTGGAGCCCAACCTGGGCATGCATTTGCTGTCGCGTCCCAGTGGGGAGGCCCTGGACAATTCCTGTCCATTGCTAAGCCTATTTTCTCATCCATAAATAAGGGTGAGTGGCAGGAGCTTGTGTGTGAAGTGCTCCTCCAAAGGGAACACACAGGGATAGGCCTGAGGGGTGCAACTAGGTACCTGTAGGACCACTTCGGTCCAGTGACCTAGGGTGGACCCTTCCCACCTCTTCCAGCTTCTTGGAGCTCGGCACTAATCCTGTATCCCTCCAATTCCCATGTCTCAGCTCACACAGCTGTTTTCCTCTGTGTCTCTATGTCCTTACATGGCATTCTCCTCTTTTTTTTTTTTTTTTTTTTTGACAAAGTCTTGGTTTGTAGCCCAGGCTGGCTTTGAACTTGTGGTGATCCTCCTGACTCAGCCTCCCAAGTTCACAGCGAGCCTGGGCTACATAATGAGTTCAAGGTCAGCCTGAACTACACAGCAAGACCTTGTCAAGAAAAAAAGTGATAAACATAGTGTGCTACCTTTGGACCCAGAAATGCCCTGCCTAGCTCTGTACCCAAGAGAATTGAAAACGTACGGCCACACTGAAACTTGTACACAAATGTTCACAGCAGCTTTATTTGTCATAGCCCCACATGGAAACAACACAGATGCCCACCAACAGGTCTGCAGTGGTACTGTGGCTACTACTGCGAGGAAAGAGAGCGGTGCTGCTACACACGAACTCCGGGGTGAGCCTCAGAAGAACTCTACTGAGTGAAAGCAGCCACGCACGTACTGGGCGAGCCCGTTTACACAGAGCTCCGGAGATGCACGTTTACCCCTAGTGACAGAAAACAGAGCAGTGGTTGTGGGGCTGGGGACACAAGGCCACTGTGGGAGAAGGTGGATATATTTACTGTCGTGACAGTGGGGGTGGTTTGACAGGTGTACACGCTCATCCGAACTTGCCAAGTACAGTTTACACACATGCCAGCTGTCGAATTTCTATCGCATCTCCATAAATCTGTCAGAGAAAGGTAAAATCCATCAGGAGCTCCACATCTGCAGCGGCCTTCATTTCTGGTCAGGTGGGAAAGAAGGACCAAGGCGAGCTTTCCTGAACACCAAGGGGGCTCTGAGACCATTGCGAATGTCCAAGGCCTTACACTTGAAGGTGTCCCAGTGAGGATGCACGCAGCGGTCCAGGAACCCTGGAGGCCCCTGCTTTGTGCAGTCGCAGGTGCGCTGGAAAGCAGGTGGGAGCCCCGAGCTCCCTCTCACGCCGTGTCGCCATGGGCCACAGGCTGATGCTCACAGACATCAGCTCTCTGTGTATACTGGTGCTCAACAATTCAAATGCAATCATCTACAACAGCCTCCTTCCCCAATCATAGGCCGACTGTTTCATGTTTCGAAAAACCGTTCCTCATCTGGAATCAACTAGAATCCAGAGTCTGTGTGTGGGACTCCAAGCCCTCCACACTCTGCTTCTTATTGATCTTTTAACCCAGAACTGCTTCCCCAGCACAGCTCACATTCTCCCTTCCCCCGCCCCCAGCCCGGCCCAAGCATTTCTCCGCAAACCCCACCGCTGGTTTAAGTCTAAGTTTTGTCCCTGAAAAGAAAAGGCAAACAGGCAATTGTCCTTCCCAGGCGCTCCACCTCGGTCCATGCAAAATCCGCGCTGTCCTCACTGCATGGAAAATGCAGCTCCTGATGCCCTTTTGACCAACAGCGAAATGACGGGCGCTGAATTACACTGAGAACTGACAAACAAAAAAGATTTGCTGTTGCTACTCCTGGTGTCATTTTCCAGGCAAACACTGTGGACACTGGAGCTTTTCAGGGCACTCTGATGACGTCAGAGTGCAGGGCCCACACTCCCCTGGCAACTGCCTTATGCCGAATGTGCCTGCACACGGTCCTTCCTGTGGTGAGGACACGTGGGTACAGGACCAGGCAAATAAAGGTGCCTGGGTTAAAGCTACAGTTAGCATCTACCCTGGCACCAAGGGAATGTTACACGCTCCGGAAAGCTGCAGACTGCCTGGCTCAGAGGAGCTGAGTCATTCACTTCCCTGCAACAGGAGGGACCTCAGAGTAGCTGGCACGGAGGCCATAACAGCCTCCTGCTGCTCGCACCTGCCCTGCATGGGGCACGCCTCCTGCATCTGTGGCAGCCCTAGCAGTGATCGTACGGGCCTCAGAAAAACCCAAACTTCCCAATGATCTCACCAGGGACCCCAAAGACACCATCCTAATGTTTCTTTTTCAACACGAAAAGCCCAACTTGCAGATACTTCACACTGCCTCCAGGTACCGCCGGAGCTGCCTCCAGCAGAGGCGGCATCCAGAATGTTCACCGTGCAGCGCTCCCTTCGCGTGTACTTGTCAGCGCCGGCACCAGGCTCGGCACGGAGCACACAGGGGCGACACACGACACACAGCTGCAGAATACAGGGCAGGGTGACAGGCACAGAGGCAATCACAGGACATAGGCACAGGGATCACTAGAGGTGGCTGAGTCAAGAGCAAGTTACAAAAATGCTGGGAGGTTCAACAGGCTTTTATATCTGACATGTACATGCGTGTCTACGTATGTGTGTGCGCGTGCACACGCATGCAGGTGTGTATGAAATGTCTGGAGCTGTCCTGGGGACTGGAACTCCAAGCAGCATTCTCAGAAGGAAGCCTGGATTTCCAGTCTCCCCACGTTCTCCCGACAGGTGTCCCCAAGAGTGGTCTCGGTGACCCTGATCACCTGCTTGCCCTCCGGGTGGCACGGGAGATAAAGCCCTGCTCTCTCCTGGTTGTGGAGAGGGCTGGAAAGAGGTGGCCAGGACACTGGGTTAAAAGTACCTGGGGACAGAGCTCCCGGGCCTTTGGGGACAGTGCCTGCAGCTAGCCGTGAGCTCGTCCCAGGAGGACACCCCGGGCATTCAGTAAAGTGCCATTTGAAGGGCTAAAGGGAAGGAGGGATTGCATCGTGGCAGGGACAAGAAGGAACAGTTTCTCAGATGTGGGCCTAGGATGGCCGCCTTCTACTGCCTGAGTCTCTTCATTGGTTGGGATCCAGATTCCTATTTAAGGAGTCATTCCCTGACAATCTCAAATGGCAAAAAATCTCCATTTTCAAGTGCATATAAAGACATTCAAAGCAATGGCACCTCAAGGGTTCTAAGAAATGTCACACGGAAAGCAGCTACCGTGTCACTCACATTCGATTCAGGGCCACCTAAATGCAAATTCTAACATGGCTTGCTTGTCTCCTACTCGTCACAGCCACAAGGGGGAGCTGCGCGGAGGATAGGAGCAGGAAATTTTAAAGCTTTCCGCACTAGCGAGTGAGAGGGGGGCAGGGGGCTCCAGGTGCAGGAAGGACACTGAGCCAGAGGATGGCAAGAGCGCCCATGTTGCCATGTCTGGCCCAGATCCCACTGCCGTGAGGGACCGGGGGAAAGGGGGCGGCTGCTCTGTCCGTGGGCCTGGGCGCAGCTCCGACAATCCGCAGGGGGCGCCCCGGAAGGGCGCGAGTTTCAAACGGCCCCGCACCCTCCTGGATGCTTCCTGCACCGGACAGCAGGGCCCCGCGCCTTCGCAGGATTAAAGTGCTTTTAGTATCTTCTACCCGGAAACACCAACAGCTCTTAGGGGGAGGCAGAGGACCCCACCCCGCGAGAGAGGGCATGGGCCATCCCTCTGTCAACTCAAAGTAGCGTCCCTTCCCACAGCAGGCACGGACACGCCCGCGGCCGCCCCGCGCACAGCCTGCGCACACTCGGGCGCCCCGTGGTGGCCAGATGACAGTGCGGGTCGAGGAGCTGTCGCTGCGCCACAGTTACGTCTTGAAGGACTTGGGAAGGAGCGGAAGGGGTGCTCAGTCTCCAACCTGTACTGCCCTCAGGGGGACGCTGGGGCGCACAGCCTTCAGGAAGGGCTCCTTCTCCCCCTTGGACGCGCTGCCCTGTGTCTCGGCCTCAGGGCGAGGCTGGATCCTGCGGCTTTGCGGGGCCTGGGACACTGGCATGGGGGCCGCCGTCGCCCCCTCCAATGGGCTGAGCCTGGGCATGGCGGCCGAGGGACGACTTCCCGCTGTGGCTGCTCCGGTGGCTATCCAGCGGCGCCTTGCTCTCGGGGCTGTGCTCGCAGTGCTCGCACGCATGCTCTGTCGGGCCCCCGGGGCTTCCCCAGGCCTCTGCCGAGCTGCCCTCGCCGCCCTCCGGGGACCGCGCCCCACTGGGCTCCCACCGGCGCTCCAGCAGGAGCACGCAGCCTCGGCCGGGCCCCTTTTCGTGGCTGTGGCGCGGGGAGGGCTGGACGTCGCCGTGCACCGCCTGGTGCTTGAAGAGGTTGGCCCGGCGGCCGAAGGCCTTGCCGCACTCGCTGCACTCGTAGGGCTTCTCGCCGCTGTGTACTCGCAGGTGCTGGCTGAGGCCCGAGCGCCCGCGGAACGCCTTGCCGCACTCTTCGCACACAAAGGGCTTGTCGCCAGTGTGGACGCGCTGGTGGTGGATGAGCTGTGAGATGCCCGTGAAGGCCTTGGGGCACCTGTCGCACAGGTAGGGCTTTTGGCCGCTGTGCGTGCGCTCATGCTCGATGAGGTTGGAGCTGCGGCCGAAGGCCTTGCCGCAGTGGACGCACTCGTAGGGCTTCTCGCCGCTGTGAGTGCGCTCGTGCTCGAGCAGCGCGAAGCTGCGCCGGAACAGCTTCCCGCACTCGGCACAGGAGAAGGGCTTCTCGCCGCTGTGGATGATCTGGTGCTTGATGAGGTTGGAGCTGCGCGTGAAGGTCTTGCCGCACTCCTCGCACTCGTAGGGCTTCTCGCCGCTGTGGATGCGCTGATGCTCCAGCAGCGCAAAGCTGCGCCGGAACAGCTTCCCGCACTCCCGGCACGCGTAGGGCTTCTCGCCGCTGTGGATGATGCGGTGCTTGATGAGGTTGGAGCTGCGGCTGAAGGACTTCCCGCACTGCTGGCACAGGTACCGCTTCTCAGCGCCCTTGGGCCGCTGTGGCCTTGGAGCAGGACCGCGGCCCTGGGGACCTCTCTGCGCAGCTACAACATTAGCCTGCCGCCGGGCCCTCCTCGCGGCCCCTGGGCTCTGTATCCTGCCACCTACAAAGACAGAGAGGGCCAACCGGTGTCACGGCTTCCTGGGGCTCTCGTGCACATTTGGCCTTCTGCACCTTCACACTGGGCAGGAGCAAGGTGACCCCAAGCAGAAGAGAGAAAAGGTGGGGTCACCCGGAAAGGGCTTGGACCGGGCGGTGGGTCCCACCCACAGGCAGCCGGTGGGGGGGGGGCGGCTCACTCACCCGCCTTAGCCTTTGAGCGGAAGTCAGCCACCCAGGGTCCTTCCCCTCGCTCCAGCTGGGACACCAGGTGAGGCTTGGAGGAGGCGAGTCCTGTGCCGGAAATGAAGCAAGGCCAGAGTTACCGCCGTGCACACTGCAGTCTCGACAGCCTCAGGTAGCGGAGCAGGAAGGACCCTGAAAAAGTGCCCCTGGGCAGGTCCAGGGGAGGCCACCCCAGCCCACGCCCAGAGGCCACCTGGGGAAGAGAGGCACAGCCACTGGCCTGGGAAGGTCAACAAGGCTCAGGATGGAGCCGTTCTCCGCCATGGGCTTGGTCACAGAGGCGATAAGGAGAGCTGCTTCAGATGCGCAGCTCACTCCCAGGAAGCCTGAGCCTGGCATGGGCACCATGGCAGCCGCCCGCCGGGAAAGGCTGGTTTCTGAGCTCCAGCCTGTGATCCTCGGCTTTCCCTGTTAAGTGGCAGGACCGGCTCCCCTTCCAGGGTCCTGAGAATGGGAGGCTGGGCACGTGTTGGTGAGGGAAAGAAGAACTGTCTGCCCTTCCAGCATGTGAAATTCCGTGAGTGGACGCACAGAAAACTCGAGCAGTTTTTGTTCGGAGACAGGGTCTCGCTGTGTAGTTCACATTGGCTTTGAACTCACTATGTAGCCCAGGGTTGGCCTTAAACTCAGCGATCATCCTGCCTCATCCTCCTGAGTGCTGTGATGACAGGCGTGCACCACCACGCCCAGCTATAAAACCCCAGCGTTGTAAGAACAACCTAGGTCTGAAATAACGCATTTAACTATTCTAATATAGCTGGGCATGGTGGTGCATGCCTGTCATTCTCTGGCATGGGGAAGGCTGAGGCAGGAGGATTACTGTGAGTTTGAGGAGACCCTGTTGTGCGTTCTCTCTCTTGCTCTCTATCTATATATAATATATTCCATCAAAAATGTATACACACTTCAGGAAAAGAAAAACTTGTGTGTAAATATTTTAATACTAAATTTAAGGAGACATTATGATTATGAGATCAATGCAAATTACCTTTGGCATCTACAATGACAAGAGGTGCTCAAGGTCATGGCTGTTAGCTTCTAGGCATGTGTCAGTAAGATGAACTGCTGCTTGGGTAACCTTGTCAGTGAGATTGCTGCATGTGCGCATTTTTAGTTTCTTTTCTGAGGGCCGGCAGTGTAGTAGGTTTTCTGTGATATACGACATCCTCTAGGGTCCCCCATAGATAAAAGTATTAAAATATTTATACAAGTTTTTCTTTTCCTGAAGTGTGCATACATTTTTTGTCAGGCTCTGTGTGTATGTATGTGTCTATATCTACATCTATATTTATATATTATCTAGATATTTATCCCGCTATAATTGATACCTGTCTTTTCAGTAGAAAGATTTTTGGTCAATCCACAATTTCATATGCAAAACTAGTACAGGCCCACACATTCACCCCAAACATGTACAGATCCCACCCAATTGACATTGGCTGAAAATTCCTACTGACACGACGGTGGCCCCACAAGGGATAACCGGTCTGATGGAGAGATGCATTTATGCTTGGGCTCAGTGTAACCAGCAAACCAGGAAACTCAGAAATAAACGGAGCCCAGACTTAGCAGATGGGCCGAGTGCGTGTGCAGTGGTCACTTACCCAGCGATGCCAAGTTCCTGTAGTTCTCCAACATCACCTGTTTGTACAGGGCTTTTTGTTTGAGGTCCAGAAACTTCCATTCTGCCTTTGTGAAGTACACAGACACGTCCTCAAAGGATACCGGCACCTACAATAGGCCATCCTTTTTTTATTTTAATTTTTGTCTTTTGGAGACAGGGTCTCGCTATGCAGTTCAGGCTGGCCTTGAGCTCACTTTGTAGCCCAGGCTGGTCTCGAACTCGCAAGGATCCTCCTGCCTCAGCCTCCTGAGTGCTGGGATTACAGGCTTGTGCCACTATGTCCGGCTCAAACCCGAGGTCCCCAGGGGAACTTGTGGCCATGAGACACGGGGTCCCCCTCCCCCCAGGAGGACCACACAGTGGTGACTGGGAAGAAGGTCTGGTAGGCCACTCACCTTGGGCCTTGCCCACAGGAGGATGGCTGCCATCGCCTGCCGGCCCCCTGGGGAAGCAAGGAAGAGTCAGAAGCAGCCAGCGGGGCCGGCTTCGGCAAGTGCCGGTTCCCGGGGGCCCAGGCTCAGCGCCCCCATGTCCCTGGAGTCCTGGCCTCTGTGCAGAGGCAGCCTCGCCGAGGCCCCTGACCACCCCTCATCCCGCGTGCTTTGCTGGGCCTGCTGTGAGGAACAGAGCTCGCCCACCGGGGGGCTCAAACCCAGCCGGGCACCGGGAGTCTGAGCTCTGGGGCTCCTGCTCACCCCTCCCGGCTTCTCGGGGTCGCCAGCCGTCCTCCGTCCTCCAGTCGCTGCCTGTCTTCCCTCTGTGTGCCTGGCTCCAAACTTCCCTCGTCTCACAGGACACCAGTCCTGGTGAGGTCTGTACTTCAGTGTCTGCGAAGACCCTTTCACCTGCAGGGCCGGACTTGAGCGAAGCTGCGGGGCCCACAGCATAGCCCCTAGCATGGAGGGCTCCCAAGCCCCCTCTGTCTCGTGCAACCCGCCAGGATCCCACATCCACTTTTCCTGCCCTGGCCTGCCTGGCCCACCTTTCCAGGGAGCCTGTTTTGCTCGCCTTCCTTTTTTCCCATTCTTTCTTTTCTCAGCTCTCTTTCCATCTGCTCAGCATCCCTGACCCCAGCTTTCCAGCCTTTCCTCGAAGCTCCATGGCCAACCAACCCTTTCCCTTGGGTCTGAGCTCCTACGGAAGACTCCAGGCACACACGCACAGAAAAGCTGCTGGTGAGATGCCCAGGGAAGGAGGGACCTACAGGAGGGGCAGGGTGCTCTCTCAAGAGGGGACATTCTGGCTGAGGGGCAGGCCAAGGGCACATACCCTGGCCTTCAGGAAGGCTGAGCTTGAAGTTCATGATGCTAAAAATGAGAGGATAGGCCCAGAAGATGGGCCCAAGAGGGACAGCAGGGAGTTGGGCCCACACAAGGGGCAGAAAGAGTGTGGAATGGACAAAGTGGACAAAAGCCATGTTGGCCTCAGACTTCACCACGTCTCTCTTCAGTGCCAGAGACAGCACAACGAATGTTTCCTCCAAGAATGTCATTTCTGTCCAATGGGAGACCAACAACAGGGAAGCCTCAAATGTAGGAGCAGAGCGAGCAGGTGACAGCTGCTAGGGGGAGTGGCTCAAGGGTGCGCTGACTCTTGTTCTGATGGGAGACTATACCTTGTTTCTGCTAATGCCAAGGCTGCAGGAGAGAGTGAGGGGACAGGGCCCTGGGAGCATGGAGCAGCTGTCATATTCACCTGGCATTTAAAGTGCCCCAAACCCCTTATGGATTGTGGTGACCAAGAATGAAGTCATACTTCTGGGGGAGAAGTTTATATGAAGCAGAAAAATAGATCCCTGAGCTGTGGAATGGACCCTAGAGCCATCAGGTGAAAGGGAGGGAGAACAGGACATCACATGTCACGGTGTCATGCAGTGGTCCTTTGCTGGTCATGCATGAGGAACCCATCCTGACCATGGGGCAGAGGGTGGGACAGATGACAAGAGGGCAGCAACTATGTGGCTGGCAGGGTACTGCTAGTGCACACGCGCTGGGTGAAGGATGGTGCAGGCTCATGGAAGAAATTGTCCTCTTAAAATTCACACTGCAGCATGTGAGGTGGGAATGGCATGCAACTCCCTTGAGCTATTCCAGGAAAACCCAAACATTAACTCAGGAAGAATAGTCAACAAGTGGAAGTGACCTGGGTTTCTACCTGTCTGCACCCCTGGTGGTAGTTGCTATGATGTGGATCCCAAATGTTGCCCACCCGAACACCTGTGTTAAAGGTTCAGTCCCCAGGTGGTGGTACTGGATAGGTTTGTAGGTCCCTGAGGGTGGCCCTTTCTTTCTGCCATCCCTCTACTATGTCCCAACATGTGCCTGTGCTCTGGTATCCGGCCACAGGCCCAAAGTGCTAGGCTGAGGGACCATAGGCTGAGTGCTCCCAACCTCTCTTTGCGTGTTGCTTGTCTCAAGTATTTTGCTATAGTAACAGAAAGCTGATTAACAGTGCTCATAATGGAAAGAAAAAAGCTTTGGAAACTATTTGGGTAGTTCTTTGACAAGTTAAACACAGAATCCAACATGACCTAGCAATTCTACTCCTGGGTATACTCAGAAGAATTGAAAACAGGTGTTTGCCGCCCCACTCAGCATTGGTCACAATAGCCAAAAGGTGGAAACAGGCCAAATGTCCATCTCAGAAGAACAGAGGAGCCAAATGTGGTCTATGTATACAGTGGAATATTATTTGGCCATAAAAAGGAAGGCAATTGTGACACAGGCCCCGGTGTAGATGAACCCTAAGGAGATTTCACTCAAGTTAAAAAAGCCAGATACAGACACAAAAGGCCACGTCTTGTAGGATTCCATTTATACGATGGAACGTCATGTTTCACAAGAGCTATTTTGACCTAGTTTTCCAGTTGTGGCTGAAACCTCCCTTGTCCCTGTCCTTTGTAGGCAGTTTGCTGGCCCCCAATCCCCTACTTCCTGTGTCTGGGTCACAGTCCTGGGCCTACTAAACACACAGCCACTTGACTCCTCAGTGGGCCCCACACTTCAGGGCCAGCTCTAAGACGAGGGACAGCCCCTAAGCCCCAGGGCCCACAACATTGTTCACATTTGCTGCCCCACTCACTGGCTGTGCACAAATTGTCCTTCTAGCTGCTTCAGCTTGTTGTCACCCTGTCCCCAAGTACAACCCATTGCACGGCCTCATAGGGCAGTGTTACCCTTCAGAGCGGTAAGTAACAAAAGTTCTGCCTGTCAGGCATCTAAGCGTCACCGCACGGTGAGCGGTCATCCCAAAACCCTTTAAATCTTAGAAAATATATGCCATGTCCACAAGAGGTAAATCCATCATGTTCCAAAGCCCACCAGCAGGGGAGGGGATGGCAGACACCAGTGACTGCTGAGGGGGAGGAAATTTCTCAGCTGGACGAAACGTCTGGTCTCCCACCGAAGATGTGATCCCCAAACAGTTGGGCTGTGGCAGCCCCGTGGGGTGCCACTGCATTTGCAGACAGACATCGCGCTAGAGCTGGAGAGAGAAGATCCAGCCGTGGGGCAGTGGCCACACAGCAGGGTCTGTGCTGAGACCACTCCCGAAAGCCAGCCTTAATGGCAACTCCTGCTAGGACAGCCCCCAAGGCTGGCAGCCCCTGAGCACCCAGGAGTGCTCGAGGGAGAGAGGGAGAGTGGCTGCCTCCACCAAACAGACTGGACTGCCAAGACCTCTGGGCCTTTGTGGACAGCTAGAGCCCAGGCCCAGCTGAAGGGTGAGCAGGGCCCAAAGCTCAGGCTTACAGCAACCTACTGCTGGGCACCTGGTGGGGAGGATCCCTGAGACTGTGCCCCAGGAGAAGCCAGCAAGGCCCATTGGCCCGGGTACCCCTCAGCGTGGGCCCAGATCGCAGTGGGGCTGGGGTCTCCAGCAGTCTTGGTGGCAGCGTTGGGGAGGGGATGAGGCAGGGAAGGAGCACGCCCACGGAGGAGGGAAGGGAGAGCCGGCCGGCGCCTCAGTGCCATCTTGCTTGGGGACCACTAGGTGGGGCGCGTTCCCCAGGAAAAAAAAAACACAACCAAAAAAAAAACCAACCAGAAACCAAACCAAACAACGCCACAACAGCCTTCAGGATCCTGGCCCTGGGGATCAGGAATCAGGGCCCTTTCCGCGGACAAGGACAGACAGGCAGGGCCACTTCGGGTGGACCGTCCTCTGGGGTACAGCAGCTTGAGGCTCAGCTGCTCCTCCTGAGAAGAGGCCCTGTCACCTACCACCTCTTGGTGCATGGCCTGGGAGGGGTCCCCTGGGGGTCTCCTCAGCCCGCCTAGGACTGGCCAGGGCCCCTGGGAGCTCCCTGCAACTGCTGTCTCCAGGCTTTGGCCTGCAGGGACAGAGACTGACCTGGACATACACAGGGTCACACATGCTGTTTGCCGAGGGCTCCTTCTTCCCACAGGTGGGCCAGTCCTTTCTCGGATGCCCACGTCACTGGGAGGAAAGCCACAGACCCCTCCTGACCTCACCCAGACCTGCCCTGACCTCTGCTCCTGCAATTCTGGCCTCCAAGGAGCCAGGCCATTCCTGCCTCAGGGCCTTGGCTTGACTATTCGCTCTGCCTGGAATGCGCTTCCAAAACATTAGCACATGCTGTGCTCTTTTGCCAACCTGAAGTGTTTGCAGAAACAGAGCCTTTGAAATGAGATCTGTTCTAAGAGTACTACTTGACGTGCAGCTGGACCTCCTTTCCCTGCCTCTTCCCACCTTTTGACATACTGTCTAATTTCTAATATGAAACAGTTTATCCTGTGCTTGGCCACTAGAGCTAGAACCACAGAGCAAATTTTTGCTGCCTGTTCCCTGACAGGTCTTGGATGTCAGCAGCAACGCAGTGCTCAGCGGGCACTGGGAAGATACTGGGTGGACTGAACCAGAGGGAGCTACCCCTACGGGGAAGGCTTGTTCCCTCTCGTCCTTCTCCACCTTCCATCCCGCCCTTCGCCTTCTCTTCTCAGCCCTGGTTGAGCCTCACCTTCCCTGGGTGTGTGGTGGCATGTCCCGCATGCATCAGCGTGTCTCCAAGGGACACCACCCTAACCCTGATCATAGCTGCAGGGGCACGATGTGGGGGGACCACCAGGGCCTGCGCCTGTGATAGTCGGCTAGGTGACACTGGGCAACAGTGCCCTCGCCACACAATGCCAGCTTCCCGGCTCAGACGTGCAAAATCCCAACTTCCCTGGGGATCAGGATGGGCTGCTCCTGCCAGCCCCAGGACTAGCGGCTGAAAAGCAACGAGAGGAGAGCAGATGGGAAGCAGGGGCTGCGCGCACGCCCGGTGCTCAGCCCTGCGGGCCTCTTCCCAGGCGCCCCTAGAGCCAGCCCCGCTGCTCTCTGCGCCCGCCTCCCAGGGTGTCCTCAACTGTTGCCACTGTCGCTGCGCCGTGGATCTCCGGGCCACCTGTGCCCGCCCTCCTGCACCCCTGCCGAGAGCAGCTCCCTGCGTCCCACCGGCCAGCGTACCTTGGCTCCTTGCGCGCGAGACCAGTGCTGTCGGCCTCCCCTCTTGCCCCCGCCAGGCCCGAGGCTAAGGCCACCGCCTCCGAGAAGCCCTCCGGGGGCGGCGTCCCCAGGAGGCTGGCGGGGTGGGGGCTGCCAGCCAGCCCGGGCCTCCCGTCTGGCGCTGCTCCCGATGCGGTGCTGCGCAGCTGTCCGTCGATCCCGCGGGCAGCGCTGCGGAGCGGGACCGAGAGCGGGCGGGGCCGGGGCGGCTGCGGCGTGGGAACGGGGCGCTGGGGGGGGGCACGGAGCATGCGCGGCTCGGCCTGAGGGCGGCCCTGCCCGCGCCAGCCCCACTGGGGCTTCTGGCTTTGCTCTCCACGCACCCTGGGGCACTTCCGCTTCCCGTCTGCACTGCTCCAAGGACTCGGTCTTAGACTGGGGGTCTCAGTGGTCTCCCCGGTTCCAGTCCCTGCAGAGGACAGGGGAGGGGTCAGGGTTGGCTGAGCGCTTTCCTTGGGCCATGCCCCTGGGTATTACGTCCATCCTGGCTTCTGTCCAGGGGCCCATGGAGATCCTGTGGGGTGTTAGCATCAAGTGGCCCAGCCATGGTCACCCAGTAAAGCACCAGCTCGAATACATGGATGTGAAGCAGGACATGGGAGATGGATACAGCTGGAGGGGAGTGAGAGGGTCGGAAGTGCAGGAAGAAAAGACCTGGGTGCAAAGCCTGCGGGAGGGGGAAGCCAGCGCAGAGTGGGCTTTCTTGCCACTTTCTGCCAGACGGTGATATGAGGTGGAGCCAGGATGGAGTCTCAGGGCTGTGTTGACAAGGATGGGCTCCTTGAGGGAAAGGGAGGAGGAGGAAAAAACCTCTAAGAAGGGTGACAAGAAAAAACAGCCATCTTGCCTGTCCCCATTCTGCCCTTCCAGCCCTGGCTGCAGGATGGGGCGCCAGGTGGGCACTGAGCTGGACCTTCCCTTACAAAACTCCCCAGGTTCCCAGCTGGTGCTCATGGAGCCCTGGGCCTGGGCAGCACAGCCTGGCCCTCAGCACGGAGCCCTGGTGGCCTGGCCCTGCCTGGCCCAGCGTGGGGCAGGGGTGGGGAGCCCCTCAGCGGGCTTCTTTCTAGCCAGCTTCAGGGAACGTGGCTCTCAGCTTCGGCCCCTGCCCTGCAGCAGAGGCGGGGAGGCCCCCAGGGACCCCGAGCTCCAGGCCCTGGTGCCCGAGGGGCCCCCTCTGGGCAGGCTCGGTCCTGGGCTCCTCAGGTACAGTGGGGGTGAGGGGGCCCCTGAAAGGTGGTCCACATGCTCACACCCAGGCCCCTCATAGGACAGGGGCCCTTATGGGACAAGGGTCTCTGTAGACGGAGCCGAGTGAAGGGCGTGGAGAGGAGACGCCCGACCTTGTGCGGGTGGCCCTAACCCAAGGACTGGCGTCCCCTACGGATGGAAGAGAGCCGCGCAGGGGGAGAAGCCCGTGAAGGCGGGTCCCAGCCAAGGGAGCGGAGCCTCCGAAGCTGCTAGAAGAGGCGGGAGAGGTCCTGTGGAGGTGCCCGCACCTTGGTGTCGCACTCTGGCCTGCACGATGACAGGGACAGCAAAGCCCTGCTGTTAGAAGCACTGGGGCTGCTTGCTGCGCACGGAGCCTTGGCAGGGCGGTTGGAGGTGCCCGCACGGAGCTTGTGTCCAACACAGCTCTGGAAATGGGAGTGGGCCCATGTGTGCCACTCTCTGCGGCTTTGCTGTGGCCAGTCTGCAGCACTTATCGGCACCTGTCATAACTGAAGCCAAACCAAGGGGACGTGGACAAAGCCACAACTCTATGAGGTGAATAGGCCCATTCTAGAAACTGTTCAGTGCTTAAGCGGGGAGAATTTCAGACCTGCACCTACCTTTGGAGGAGTGACCCACTGTCACCTCCCGCTGTGACTCTGGTGTGGCCACCTTACCTTATCTCTCATCGTCCTCTCACCCTTACTTTGGTTGAGAGGCCTGGGACCTTCTTTCTTTCTCTGAGGGAGGTGGCCTCATCCCTATAGGCAGGGCAGGACAGACCATCTGCAAAAAAGGAAGGGGACCAAGAAATGGAGGGAGAGGAGGGGAAGGGGGACAGAAAAAGAACGAAGACATGCTGTGTATATGTACTGACTTCCCATGATGAATATAATCATGTACTGCAAACATGGACCAAAAAAATAAAGTTTAAAAAGATAAATGCCCCAACTTCAGTCTTCTGCATATAGATGTCAGTTTTCCCAGCACCACTTGTTAAAGAGGCAATCTTTCTTCCAGCACATGTTTTGATCCCCTTGTCAAAGATCAGATAGCTGAATGTGTCTGAGAATGTTTCTGAATCCTCTGTTCTGTTCTGCTGACCCACTTGTGCTAGGGTTTATATCTAGATGTCTTCCCAAAGCCTCATGCATTCGTGCATGGTGGGGCTTGGGGGAGGTCACTGGACCATGGGTGTGGTACTGGATTAGTCCATTGATAGGTTTATATCTGGGAGTGACATTGGGAGGTGAAGCCTGGGGGGAGATGGGTCATTGGGAGCGTCATCCGGAAGGGCCTACGTCCCTCCTCCCTTGAAGGCTGTTGTTTCCTGCTGGCCTTGCCCCTCTGTGATGGTGTCCTACCTTGCAACCAGCCGACTACAGACTGACACCTCCAGTATGAGTTAAACTAGACCTCTTCTTTAAATTGTGGGCATCGGGTCTTGTGTCTCAGTGATGAGAAAGTAACTTAGACAAGTCTATTTTTGTGCCAATACCATGCTGCTTTTATCGCTGTATAACTTGAAGTCCAGGAATGCAATGCCCCCTGCCTTGCCCTTGTTGCCCAGGAAGCCTTTTACTATTCTGGGTCTCTTCTGATTCCATATGAATTTTAGGATTGTTTTCTCTCATTGTTTGAGGAGTGCTGATGGTATATTTTTTTTTTTTTTTTTTTTT